TTTTAAAATAACTCAGCCATTAGTCAACGGAACAAAAGAATACACTTGGCTAGGTTCTAACACCAGTTCTCCTGGAAACCAAAGGTTTGGTATGATTTAAGTATGCAACCTGCAGTTAAAGGGTAACCTAAGAATTCCAAAGCGGGAATCTTCTAGTGTCTTAAACACAGAATTAGATGTGTGACCTATGGCACATACTCCAGCAATCTATCAAGTAGTCTTTCATCTACCGTTTGATTAGAGATACCAGATCCAGTGAGGTACTATACCCAATATTGTATTCTCTCTTGTGGGTTTGTTTTTGGGTTTTTTTGGTTTTTTTTTTAAGACACAGGGTTCTCACTATGTTGCCCAGGCTGGTCTCAAACTCCTGGCCTCAAGGAATCCTCCCAAAGTGTTGGGATTATAGGCGTGGGGTGCTGCGCCCCGCATATAGTGTATTTTTAGATGTACTGGTTTCATGTACAAAATAATGTAGGTAATACAGAGATCAGTGAAGCACCAGAATATATTCTGAGCATTCTAAAACTTAGATTTGAATGAATAAATTAAGATCTTTATTCCAATGACCCTTTGTCTAACTGAACCAATAGAGAAATTAAGTCAGCACCTGAGTCAATTCTTGGGCCAAAAACTGTTAGTTCCACTGAAGAAACCACAAGATACTGGTTTTCAAAAACCACTGAACACTTACCATACAGGGGATTCATTTATAAAATGAGTTTGAAAACTTTAATAAATAACATGTAGCCAGGCGCGGTGGCTCACGCCTGTAATCCTAGCTCTCTGGGAGGCCGAGGCGGGCGGATTCTTTGAGCTCAGGAGTTCAAGACCAGCCTGAGCAAGAGCGAGACCCCGTCTCTACTAAAAATAGAAAGAAATTAATTGGACAACTAAAAATATATAGAAAAAATTAGCCGGGCATGGTGGCGCATGCCTGTAGTCCCAGCTACTCGGAAGGCTGAGGCAGGAGGATCACTTGAGCCCAGGAATTTGAGGTTGCTGTGAGCTAGGCTGACACCACGGCACTCTACCCCGGGCAACACAGTGAGACTCTGTCTCAAAAAAAAAAAAAAATAAATAACATGTATACTCAAACATGTAAGATGCCAAATGCTAACACACCATGGACCAGCAACTCATTCTTTTGTACTGACAGATCATCTGGAGGGCCCTTCACCTGCTGCTCCACTTTTCTGAAATGAAACCTAAATAATAGCAAAGTTAAATTCCCCAGGACCCAGAGTTAACATAAATAAAATTAAAAATCTCAAGAACTATTATAATCACTAATTTAAGTAACAAGTGATTGTGTGGGCTAACAAACAGCACAAAATAAACAATGTTAAAGTAAAAGTGGAATTTTTGTTTTTTAACTTCCCAAATCCTTAATTGCCACCATCAACAATTTTAACCTATAAGTATGCAAAATTACTCCTTTATTCCTTTCACTTGAAAAAGTCACAAAACTCAGTGAAAAGACTTCAAATTTTCCCTTTTAAATGTTTATTAAAGAGATAAATTTAACTGTCATTATATTTTGCAAACAAATCAAAATTAAATTCCGCAATAGTTTTAATTAAAATATTTTTATGAATGAATGAGAACTATAACACAAAAAAGAACACTAAATGTCAGTGCCTGCTTTCCTGCCCATGAGTCTTATCACTTCCATGTTCATACACTTCCAAAGCCAACAACTTGATGAAAGTCTTCAGAAAAACAATTTTGTTATTGCTTTAAATGCCGATTCGTTGGGGAAAAATTAGAAAATTCTCAGTGGTATCTCTCACCTCAGCATTTAATCATCCTATTTTTTTTTTAAGTAAAAAGCCACAGAAAAGAAGCGGTCACAAAAATCACAACATCTGCTCCCAGCAAAGATATTTTTCTCCGCAGCCCATTCTCTTCATATATGCTTCTATCATGAAAGGAAGGAGATATGGGGTATTTAGGGAGAATGAAGATGGTGCATCTTCATTTTTATGTGCAATCTCCCTCTACTCAGTGATGCTAAATAAACTCTTACTTTGAGAATACTGGTGATAAGAAACAAGACCACAGAATTATTTGAAACTAAATTCCTAAGAAAAAGGTTCTTTAAACTCATGTGCCTACTTTTTGGAGCAATCTTTTTTTTTTTAATTAGAGTAATTCATGCCTGTTTTAAAAGAATTAGAATGTGCACAAATAAAAACATTAAAGACACTAACATATCCAGGAATAACACCTCTCTCCAGATCAATCTGCTATCCAGATTTTTATTTTAAAAAATCACTGATTTAAAAATAAGTTATTCAATAGATTCACAGGGCTTATTCTGGATAGAGTAGACAGGAAGGTCTCACTGAAAAAGTGAAATTTAAACTGAGCACAAAATGAGGCGATAACCAGGGGAAGCTCTAAGGAAGAATATTCTAGGGTAAAAGAGCAGTATGCGTGAAGGAGAAGGACAGGTCTTGGTTAAGAAATGGAAAAATGTGTTGCAGAGAGCCCAAAGGGGAAAGTGAGGGGATAAGATGACAGATTTCTTGATTAGTATTTGAAACTGATTCAAATCTATCTACAATCAGCCCTGCTTACCCACTGTTAAGGAATCACTAAAACAGCAAAAAACTAACTCCACACGAGAAATGCAAATAAAAGCAAAGAAAAAAAACAAATTATTCAAATTAAGTCCTATCATTATAAAAAAGATTAAATTTCCAACTCCTTGCTGAGAATTCCTGCAAGCAAGAGATTATAGCACCTCACACTGTTCCTAAAACATTCTCATCATTTATATACCCTCCTAAATTTCCACAAAGGTGCTCAGCAGGTACTTCACACTCTCCTGTGATGGATAATTTCCACGCTTTTAAACTACTTTTGCTGTAAATACCCGGAGGCCCTTTTTTGTTTTTTTAATCAGTCAGTTCTCCCCACTCCAACAAGAATAGGTTCAGAGCAACTTCCATCCTGAGGCACTTTTGCTGTAATAACAGACTGTTAGACTCTATATTAAAGGCACAAAGCTCTCACAGAAAATTAAACACAGAATTCACTCCGCATATTGGCCCAAGAGAGACTGAATTTCTGGGTACCGGGCAAAACTTGATTTATGATCTTACTTGAAGACTGATAATGAGGTGGTTTTATGTTTGTGGCCTGGGAGTTGGCTCATCTAGCATTTCATCAATGTTCTCTGTGCTCAGGTCATGGCCCTTTTACCAAAGGTTTCACTTTGGAGAATTTATAGATGTGACTGTAAAAGTATAAACTACAAAGAAACTCACTGGATAACCTATTTTTAAAAAGTCATTTATTTATACTAATATAAAACCCAGAGTCTAGCATTTGGTCAGTTTTATTTCCTGATTCTGCAACTTGTAGCAGATGGTTTTCTCTGCACGTGCGACCTTGGCATTTTGCCTGTGTTTACATGGACTGACCTGACCGGAGCCTGCTCCTCACCTGTGTGTATATGGGGTTAACTCCCCAGTCTCTTCCATATATATCCACTCACTGCCAAGGGCCTGTATGAGCACCAAGAAGCAGCAAGCCATCTCAGAAGTAGCATTGGACCTGTGTTCTATAAACAGTGCTAATAAACTAGCGGAAATTGTGATCCCATCACTATTTGATTTTTCAACTCTTCCTTCCCTATAAGATAGGAAATACTCTTGAAATACAGTCAATTCTGTTTGGCATATTCAATGGCATTCCTTTGAGAAAACTGGATCACAAAAATCAGAACTAAAAACCATCACTATAGTCAAGCTTTAAAAAAAAGAAAGAAAAAGAACTATTTAACCAGGTGCAAGGGTACATGTGACAAAACATAGCTTAAATGGTGTTACTATTTAGTATTAGGAAACAAACTACTAAACAAATCTCACATCCTAAAATTTTCCAAGTATTTTTGAAAAATAACATGTCATTCCTACGATAATTAGTTATTTTGCCTGCTTCAATCACCATGTATTTAGCCAGGTGTGCTAGGTGCTCAGGAAACAAAAACAAACAGAACACTTCGCCTGCCTTAGATAAGTTCCACAGAAATAATGCCAACCGTAGGCTGAAAGTTAAAATGCTTAACATTCTCAAGAAGCCAAAGACCTGTCACTTGCACCTCAGAACTCCAAAAGGTTCACAGACTCTAGGTGAGCACACCCAGGTCACCGCTCAGGTGTTAGAGTTAACAGCCCGGCAAGTACACCTGTCAACTGCAGTCTGAGAAGAAAACTCAAGAGAGGCAAAGTGTTGCCAACATTCACCCACACCGCCTCAACCCCGCCCCTCCCAGCACTTTTCATAAATAAACAAAGGGTTTTTGAAGGGAACTGTCCAAGGTTACCACCTGATACGGAGGAACGCTTTGGCGTGGGATACCAATAAATTAAAATTACATACTCTCTGTATTTATTGAGCACTGCTATACAACATCTAAGTGTTGACAAAGTGTCAACCAAGGCACATAGAACAGAAAATAAGACCTCTTTCTCGACAGGATTAAAACGTCAAGAAGAAACTGACCGAAAGAGGGAGATCTCTAACTTCCCAAAGCAGCAGCAACCCCCAGGAAAGGTACTGGAACCAGCGGAAGTTACATACCCAGGACAGAAGTGTCCCCCTCCCCAAGGGCAAAAGTTTGAACCGCCATCTGACTATCCTACGGTGGTCGGAAACTTCCCTGAACAACAAGCAACCAGACACCCTAAAATCTCCGCCCTTGGCCAACCCCAGGTGCCCTCATGCCAGGCTGTCGCTTCCTGCCTGGGCCTTGCCTCTCCATCTCACTCCCTCTCCCCGACACTCACTGGCCTGCCTTGGCTCCCAACGCCGGCCTGGGTCCCGGGATACCTCGAGGCCGCCGGGCTCGGTCTCGGGGGGCCTCGGCCTCAGGCCCGCCCTCCAAGAGGCCCGGTGCGCCTCCTGTCCCCGATCGGGCCGCGACCCCCGGCCCCCGGCCGCCCATGGGGCCGGATCCCGCGGCCCCCGCCCTGCCCACCGGCCCTCACCTCCTCGGCGTGCTTGCGCAGCGCCTTCTCCCGCTCGTACTGGGTGATGAGCTGCTCGTTGTCGTCCCGCAGCAGCTCCAGCTCCACCTGGTGCTCCTGGTCCTGCGCGAACACCGAGTCCAGGTTCTCCAGCACGGCTACCACCAGTGGCATCAGCTCCTTGACCACCTCCTCGTCATAGCGCCCGATGAGCCGCTCGAACTCGCGGTAGATGGAGCCGGCCAGGCCGGACACCCGCTCCGACATCACGGCCCCGGAGCCGCCGGGCTCCTCCTGGTACACCACACCGTCCTCCAGCTCCATGGTGGCAGGCAGGCGGGCGGCCCGGGGCGTCGCCCGCTGAGGGGCGGCACGGGCCCGCACGGGACGGGCCGGGCTGGCGCTGGGGCTGGGCCCGGCGGGGCGGGGGCCGGGGCCGGGGCCGGAGAAGGGGAGGGGTGGGGTGTGCGCCCTTACCCCAACGGCCGCTGCACCAACTGCCGGGGCGGCCCGGCCGCGCGCGCTGCACGTCATCCGCTGGGCGGGGCCGGCGCCGCGTCGGCCCGAGGGGCGGGGCGCCGCGGGAGGCCGGGCGCGGCTGGGGGCGGGGCTTGCGTCACCGTGCGCCGGCGGAGGGAAGCCGTGGCGTCAACATCCGGCGCCGTGCGGTCGGTGTGGACGCCAATGGGGGAGACGGCGAGCGGAGGGTGGGGAGAAGTTGTCAGACCGAGGCGGGTTTGTAGGGCTGTTCCCAAAGGAGAGGGAGGGGTTCTGGAAGAGTGACTAGCGGTCCATAATTAGCATAGCTAACATTTCTATTGCTTTTTACAGCTCACAAAGAGCTTTCTCACTTGAGCCTCACAACAGGCGTGGCGCGGTAGACGTTTGGGCCTCGTTTTACAGACAAAGAAACTAGGCCCAGAAAAGTTGTGGTTCACTCAAGGTCATGCAGCTAGAACGGGAAAGAGGCTGAGCCCGGACGCAAACCAGTTGTTCTGAGTGAGAATTCCGGAGTAAAGAAAAATGGGAAACGGAGGGAGAGGGAAAGCAACCGTAACCAGGAGAGGTTCTGCTTAAGGCGATCTCAAATAGGATAGAGTTGTTTTGCTATAGGGAAAAGTAAGGATAGCCTAAAACAGGCAATGCAACGCATTCTGGAGAATGGTAAAACTGTAACGCCAAATCTTGCACTTTTGCAGATACTGAATTCGCTACTCCTGGCCAATTTAGGAGAGTGGCATTTCCAGGTTCCAGCCACCCTCCACTCCCCTGGTATTGAAGAGAGGCGGAGAGGATAAGTGGGAGGTTGAGGAGTAGAAGAGGAAAGAGATGGAGTCACTGGAGTGAATAAATCCCGTGATAATTGAGGTCGCTGCCGCCTGGGAGAGCGTCACGTATGGGGAATGACACAACGCCCAAGCCTAGGGCAGGCTGAGGCAAGGGTCGCTTTCCGGTGTTCTCATCTAGCTGCTGCAAATAAGGAAGACACTCTGAAAAGACCCTTCTCTCTGCCGCGGGTGACTCAGGAGTTCTCCTTCCCGACTCATTTAAGAATAGGGAGAGGGAAGTCAGGACTTGTATAAACAAGAGTTTAATGGGGGAATCGGCCACCTGCCCGGATCATAAATACCCTCAACTTGGTGTTTACAAGTTGAAGTTCTTCCCACCAAGCATGAACTAGTCCCCCAAAGTCTCCCACGAATGACCCACCTTGAGACCCACAAAAACAGTATGGAGGTTGAGTGAGAGCAAATGTATAAACTCAAAAGGACAAAGATGAAAATACTACTAAGTGTCAGGACTGAATTTGCGGCCTGTGCTGTCTCCTTTTCTCACCCACACTTCACATCCACCCTTACGTTGTTTGTGTCTGTGTCTGGGTGATAGGAATGCCGACCAGCTGGTTAGGTGTGAGCCCAGGTGCCCTTCTCTTCTTAACCTCACATCTGAAAACAAGAAAAAGTCTGGATCTGAGTTTCTGTTTTCTTTTCTCTTCCTGAGGGCTGTCACTCAGGCAATCTATAAGTGTGCCTCTATTTTTCCTGGGAGTCAGAAGAGCAGGAAAACTTAGGGCAAGGCTTTACTTTGTCTTTCTGCAATATTATCATACACACAGAATCCAGAGGAAAAAATGTCGATTCTCAGGTATGAGATTATAATTAAGTGTTCTTTATAATAAGTATGCTTCTTTAGTTATAAGTTCAACATAGAAAGCTATGAGATATATTTATGTCTTGATTTTAAGCCTCTGGTAGTGATCAGAGATCACATTTACTTGTTTAAAATAAAATTCAGTTAAATATCCATAAACTGATAAATGGATAAATAAAATGTGCCAAGGCTGGGCACGGTGGCTCACACCTGTAATCCTAGCACTCCAGGAGGCCAAGACAGGAGGATTGCTTGAGTTCAGGAGTTCGAGACCAGTCTGAGCAAGAACAAGACCCTGTCTCTAACAAAAATAGAAAAATTAGCCAGGTGTCGTGGTGTGCACCTGTAGTCCCAGGTACTCAGGAGGCTGAGGCAGGAGAATCACTTGAGCCCAGGAGTTTGAGGTTGCTGTGAGCTAGGCTGATGCCACCGCACTCTACTCAGGGCAACGGAGTGAGACTCTGTCTCAAAAAA